AATACCATGTTTCTTCTTTATATTATTGTTGAACAATTTGAGCCCTTGTTTCTTAAGGATGGCTGTCAGATTGAACATACATTAACCTTGAGCAATGACTTGAGTGAATTTACAAACTAATGTCATTCTGTATGATGTGATGAACACATAAAATTTAATTTAAAAACTTAATTTTTAGAAAGTCTTTGATGACTATTAGTAATTCCAAACTATTAAATAATTTTGTAAGAAATTAAAAAACAATCTCTATTTCCTATATATGACATTTGTCAACTGTCACTTTTGAAAAATCGTTTAAAAGGACCGACATTTGATTTCATTAGTTCTATTCTGTCTACCTCCTCACATCAATCAATGGTCGGGTTCTTACACCCGTACCATGACAAAAAATTTTTTAACTTTTTTTAACGTGTTTGTGAAGTCCAGTGTCGGCTTTTTATATGTTTTTTATATGTTTTAAGAATTTCAACAACTAAAAAAATCATAATTCTGAAATATAAGGAAATGAGATCTCTCCTTTGTAGTGGTATTTAAAAAATTGACGTAAGTTAAAAAATTATAATCTTTACCAATTAGTACTTATAAGAACATTTTATTGTAGCATAGCTCTGATGATGGCTTTGTAAAGCCGAAAGCGCTCAGCTAGGAATTGCCTAAAATATACACACTTCAAAAATACTTTTTTACATTTTCTTTCGACTTGTCATAAGTGTGTACAAAAAAAAATATCAGTCTTTTGATTATTTTTTATTCCTTTTTGCTTAAGAGGGTGTCTTAATTTTTCCAGTTTTTGTTCTGAATATCGTTCAGTATATCCTTCTAACCATGCATAATCAGCATCCATTAAGCACCAGAGAATGTTATCCTGTAGTTTCGCTTTATCTGGTCCAACACTAATGAGAATAAATTGGTGCAATCCTACTTTCACATAAAACTTGTCAGTATCTTCCCCTCCTGTCCTAACACTAGTTGCTGCTTCCTCATACATATCAATCACAATTATTACATATTCATCAAAGACTTCTGTTGGAAAAGCAACTACATTTTGTGCTTAAATTCGAATATGGTGGTATAAATTAATCAATACATTTGTCCTCCCTGTATTCATCCGATCCCTATAGTACCGCTTGGGCTCAGGAATGCATCCCGCTAAAGACACGAGCGTGATTAGTTAACAGGGACAGGTGCAACCCGACAGTGAACCGATGCACTCATATTAAATTCGTTTTGTTCGTTGTTTTGTAAAGTACTGTAAACCATGGCAATAAGCGGTATATTCACCTAGTTTTACCTGAACCTATAAATTGTTTTTGATTGTTTATTGCAACCATTATTTAAATTTTGATAATTATTTGCACCTATGAGTTAAAGTTCATTCATCTTGCTAGGGCTATTGAAGGAAACATAGTTGGTGTTAATTGAATTATTATTAATTCTAGTAATAATTCATTGTTTGTTTAATTCGCCACATTTTGTCACTAATCGAATTTAATCTAACGCCACCACTGTGGTTTGCATATCAATATCAAATTATATCTGATCACCAACGTCGGGTAATTCTAATATGTAATTTATAAAAATTTTATATAAATATAATTATAAATTTATAAAATAATAAATTATTCTGTCAAAGATCTCACCCAATTATAAGAATCAATAAACATGCAGATAAAATTGTTAAAGAAAACATACAAATAGGGGAATAAATAAATTGCGAAAGAAAAAATGATAAGGAAATGATCATATTTGTGAGAATAATACGTTTTAAAAATTCTACACGATACGATAGACTGGAAAGTAAATTGTGGAAAAAACCTTGATATAATAAATACGACAACAATGGCAAAAGTAGGTATAATCACTACCGTAGAATGAAGTTTGGTCACGCATACTATTCAATATACTTACGTAAAATCAAACTTAGAGAATTTGTATAAAATTTGTAGCAACAATAGAATAGAATATAATTTTTTTTAAATTTGTCTACCTCATAAGGTCCAAGACCTAATTTTATTGTTTATTAAAATGCGCTTATCGTCCCCTCACTTGGCGAAATGAGTGTAATATTTTGTATAACATTTTAATCCCTTGTTATAACATAACAAATTACCCGGCATTCTTTAAGATTTTTTATTTTTGTTACTCTACAAACCACTAACAGCCATATTATTCATAGCCATCAGTAAATATTTTACTTTTATATGGCGAGTGAGAGATTTGTGAAGAAAGTGGTTACCAATATATAACACTGAATATAAAACGAATTCAATTAGTACACAATATTAGTTTGATATTTGATATCAGTCTGCGGCACCCGACGTGTTAATCACTGCTAAATTAAGATAATGATTTGACTACGTTCAAGGTTCAAACGAGTTAGATTCAAAACGGAAGTTGATCTCTTCATTTTAATAATATACTTCTTAATATAATATTTGCATGTTGAATTAATGTACTCTATCTAATAGAGATCTAATAAAAAACTTTAAACAATTGTTTCTTTGCAGTACTTTCTTAGTATAAATAATTGTTTGTACTGAACAATACATCAGTTAAAATTTAAGTTTATATGCTAGCAGAACCATTTATCCTAGTAAGTTAACAAATTTATCTTTTTTTTTATTTTCCACATTTTAATTTTGTTTTCATTTTAGTCTCTGTACTGTGGTCTATTTTATTGTTGGGTTGATAGCAGCCTAGATCTTATTTAAGAGATCATTTTATCATTGACCCACAGAGGGAGTCTATTGGTCGCTTACAGATATCAGTAATCTGGTCAATTCGTCTTGTTGGAGATCTTCCTAGCGATCATGGATCTTCAACCTTCCTTTTAATGATGAATCTCTCCATATTGCCTGTGTCTGACCTCCTAGCGTGTTTCTCTTCTTGATAGTTGTTCGTCCATGAGAGCGGAAAACAGGACTGAGCTGAACTCAAAAATACAAAACTGTCATAAGAACGACAGTCCTCTATGCAAGCAAAACATGGGTGCTAAACCAAACACAACAAGAAGAAATAAATGTATGGAAAAGGAAAATTTAGAGAAGAATTTTTGATGGTATTAAAGAAGGTGGTATAAAGAAGAAGATTCAATGTAGAAATCATGAGTCTTTTTAAAGAGCCTTTCAATATCAGTAGTAAATCATCCGATACTTTTGCCATGCTTGGAATTTTCCTACAATTAACGGTTCGTGAGAAAAATTTTCATTTGGAGGTCTGTATATCGGATAAAAAACTTGAGAATTTTTAATTCGATTTTTTCTCTTTTCCGGCAATTTTGGGTTAGATCGCTCGTTGATCGCTCGTTCATTTGCCATACTCAGAATTTTCCTATAACTAACGGTTCGTGAGAACAATTTTCATTTGGATGTGTGTATATCGGATAAAAATGGATGATTTACTACTGGATACTCGATAGTATCAAGATTGAATGATGAATATCTCCATATTGCCTGTGTCTGACCTCATGATATGTTTCTTTTCTTCGTATTTGTTCGCTCATGAGGACGGAAAACATGACTAAGCTGAACACAAGAATACGAAACAGTTATAAAAACGACAGTCCTCTATGCAAGCGAAACATTGGTATTAAAGCAAACACAAGAAGAAAAAAAAAGAGAAGGGTATATAGAAAAAGAACCAATGTCGAAATCATAAGTCTTTTTAAAGAGCTTTCCATATTAGTAATAAAAGCATCAATATTGAATGATGAATCTCTCCATATTGCCTGTGTCTGACCTCATTGTTTCCTCATTGTTTGACATGTTTCTCTTCTTTGTAGCTGTTCGCTCATAAGAGCGAAAAACATGACTGAACTTGACGCAAGAATACAAAACAGTCATAACACCGACAGTCCTTTATACAAGCGAAACAAATATATGTAAGTGCTAAACCAAATACAGAAGAAAAAAAAATGGAAATGGAAAAGAAAGAAATGGAAAAATATGGAAAAAGAAAATTTTAAGTAAAATTTTTTTTATCTTTAAAAAGGTATTTGATTAAGTCTTTTTAAAGTCTCCCATACAAGAAGTAGTAAAAGCATCAGGATTGGGATGGTTGGGACATTTAGAAAGATTGAAAGAAGAATGAATACCAAAAATATTAATCAATGACAGAGATGGGTGACAAAAGAAGAGTAAGTCGACCAAGAAAGAGACGGTTAGATAAAGCAGAAAAGGACCTCGAAAAGAAACAGGCGTAAAAAATTGGAGAAGAAAGACTGACCGTAAAGAACAACAGAGATGAAAATACTCCGACGAATATCAGGGAAAAGTCTGTTGAATAGGGAGAGAAGCGAAAATATAAAAAGAGATGGGTGACAAAACGGAAACAGAAGTGGAACGAACACATTAGTAGAATGGCAGGGAATAAGATAGTACGAATAACACGAGATAAGTCACCAAATGGACCAAGAAGTATTGGCAGGAAAAGAAAAAGATGGTGCGATAATTTAAACAATATAAGAGGCGAATATTAAAGAAGAAACAGGTTTTAAAGCCTACATACAAGAAGAAAGAAGAAGAAAAAGAAGAAGGAACGATTTTTGAAGTGGAAATCAAAACATTAAAAATAAATTTATTTTAAACTTAAACTGCGGCTTATCATCAATTAAAGTAGTAATTATATTTTATTATATTTAATTAGGACATTATTAAATGTTATTTCTTAATGAAGATATTGTGAATGCAGATGAAAACAATGTTTTTGATATTAGGTATTAATAAGGATTTTTCTCGAAACACCACGTGTAGTTCATTCAAATCTTACGCCAAATATGTGTAACAAATATTTCCGTAAATAACTTCAATAATACAAGCTTGTTAACCTTCGCATTTTTTGCTCCAAATTTATGTTTTTTCAGAATTGATATCATATATTTCTTTTCATTTCTCTCACAAATCAAGTTCCCTATGTTATTCCATAGTTACCAAACTCATATAAATAACTTTGTTACAGATCGACTATTTTTTCCCACCGTCCTGTTTAAATAAAATCCCAAAATGGTAATATGTATAGAAACCGACGAAAACAATATTCCTCAAATACAACTCGGACAGCACTTACTGAGATTAGATGCCGAAGAACTTGGACCCAAAGACAAGAAGAGAGCAGAAGAGGAAATTAGGGAAACGCCAGAAAATGTTAGATATGGATTAACAAAACTTAGAGAATTTATTGAAGGTATGTCGAACTAATTTCTGGTATATTCAATATATTTATTGTTGTTTGATTTTGCTCATAATTTTATTTTTTTTGTATACGTAATACGAATTTAGATCTTGAAAGTCTATATGAGAAGGTACATTGAGAAGTTTTTGTTGTGTAAAATAAATTAATAATAAATAAATGAAACTAAGATGAACCCTCTCTCCCAGAACCTGAAATCTACTGTCTCTGGTTTTCTTAGAATCTGAATAATCTGTGAATGATTTAAAATTTGTGGTTTTTATCCGAACCCACCTAGATCAGATGCTGAAAATTGTAGAAACTTTCTCAAATGTCATTAGTATTCATTATTACATTACCTAGTTGATAAACATTATTAAAGTAGTAAGCAAAGATATTTACAGTATTTTGTACTTTATAAATAGCGGTGTGGTAATATTTCATTTCACCAGAAATTCGTGTTAAATCAGATAGAAAATATTGTACATTTTCAAAATACTTATTATAAGCTGATTTATTTTTTTTTACCGTATCAACCCCGTAGGGATATTGGCAAGGTGGCATATCTTTATGTTAGAAAAGTTTTTTACACATAGCAGATTATTCAAATTTACATAATAGTTTTGAAAAATACAAACATTTTGTGGAATCTGACAGTTTGTTATATGGTTACGATTATGAAAAAGTTTATTGTATTACTGATGTCTTCTGTTAGAACTCCTTTCAGATTACGTTTTATTTTCGCTGTTGATCTTGCTGGTAACTACACTGGACAGTCATTCATTGCATGTTGCACTTAAATTGGTATTTGACAGATGTGGCAAAATCGGCTAAGCGGTTCTTGAAGACGTTGTATCCATGTATACATTTTATATGCCCTAGCCGCAGTCTATCAAGGACTACTTGGTCAAATTTTTGAGTTGGGAGCAGTAGTAAAGCAGAAATAACATTTGATTTGATCCTTCTTAGTTTTGCTTTTATTTGGCTCTACTTTTCTTGGTAAGTTTTGTTAATGTAGAGGTATATAAATGTTTTTTGGTCTGAAAATGGCATGTTTTGCATTAAAGGGATTGTCATATTATGGATAGTTTCTGTTGCTTCTTTATCAGCTGCTTTATTACCGATTATTTCAACATTGGATGGTACCCATAAAAACGTTATGTTTTTGCCACGTATTTTGGCTTTGTATTTGTAGCTAAAAAGCATATCAATTTGCAAAAAGAGGTTCGGACGAATCAAATGAACCGGCTCTAACTCTGGGAATACCAAAGGCTGCAGTTTTAAGGGCTCTAAAGGACTGGATCTGAGAGAGTCATGGGTATATTGTGAGAGAATCCCAAAACAAACACATGGAAAATTGGTTGAAAAGAACAGAGAAACTGTTCAGAGAGAGCACGCACTAGTAAGAGAATTTCTGAATAAAATACATTTACAATGGATACCTTAACTGTAGACTCTGCAAAAAATGTATGCGATTGTGATGAGCTGTACCGTTAAAGACAAAAACTGTATGGGCAAATTAGAAAAGACCTTGGTATATTTAGGACACACCAAGCAAAAGACTGTACAAACTTCTACAGGTTACAAAATTGGGTACAAGGAGAACACAATATACCTATCACTTTTATATTTTCACTTCTAATTCGGGTAATCTGTCTATTTTAGCATATTTATTTTGTAAACGACTGTACTCCCGAATACTTAGAAACCTCATAGAAGAAGACATTCGTATGAAACAACCAGAAGAACAATGCGGATTCAGAGCTGGAAGATCGACTATAGATAATCTATTTACACTTAAAATATTAATCGAAAAGCGACAACAAAGAAACACATATAGCCCTGATAGATCTTGAAAAGGCATATGATAACGTGCCGATAAATAATTTATGGAGTGAAATGCAAAACATGGAAATAAAACCTTCGTTAATAATAGCAACTCAAAAGTGGTATGTAAACAACACCGCATCAATTCAAATAGGTGGCAAACTTAGTGAGAAATTCAACACTACGAAAGGGCTACGACAGGGATGTTGTTTATCACCTACGCTGTTTAAAATATATCTGGATTGATCTCTACAAAAGTGGCAAAGACAATGCAGAAATATGGGAATACAAATAGACGAGGATATTCTCTATACACTATTCTTCGCTGATGACCAACTGGTGGTAGCAGAAGATATAGACGATCTCAGCTATATGGTTAGGAAACTACAAACAGCGTACGAAGAATGTGGACTGACAATGAACTTACAAAAATGCGAATATCTCTCAGTGGGGAAAAATACAGTCGAAGACCTGACATTGGAGAGTGATAAAATCAAAGGAACAAATAGAGTAAAATACCTATGAGTAGTGTTTACAAAAGACGGAAATAGCCATGAAGAAATAAATACAAGAATAAACAAAGGCAGAAACATTACCAAATGCCTAAACTCCATTCTCTGGGATAAAAAAATCACAAGAACGACGAAAAAACGAATATATAAGACGATGGTTGAGCCGGTGGTAACATACGGAGCAGAGATATGGGACACTAGTAAAAGAAACAGGAAAAAATTACAAGCTACCGAGATGGATTTTATGAGAAGAAGCTGTAGATTTACAAGGATGGACAGAATCCACAGTGAAGAAATAAAACGTAGAATGGAGCAAGAAAAAGACATTATAGATGAAGTCCAGAAAAAACAACTAACTTGGTTCGGTCATGTAAACAGAATGGCAGACGAGAGGTGGCCCAAGAAAATATTAAAATGGATCCCAACCGAAAGAAGGAAAAGAGGGCGTCCAAGAAGAAGCTGGCGAGATGACGTGAATGAAGCCATGGAAGGAAGACAGCTAAATGAAGCCGATACCCGAGATAGGAAACGATGGAAACTAGGGACAGGAAAACAAGGACAGTTGTAAACATCCTGTACTATATATATATATATATATATATATATATATATATATATATATATATATATATATATATATATATATATATATAATTCTTTGGAGGGTAACTATCGGGAAAGCGTCAAAAACAAGGATCAGCTAGAGATGGTATAAGCCAGTTTGGTGTAGAACTTTATTCTAAATGTGAAATTTTTGGTGATATGTTGTCACCTTCCTTCATCAGCACCTAAATGGAAAACCTATTTTAGTACAAGTGGTGGAAATTAACATTTAAAACCTACATTGAAAATGTTCAGTTGGTCCTAGAGGTGAAGAACACTGTCACAAACATGTTAAAAATATTAAAAAATACATTTAAAATTTTGATTAAAAACATTACAACACAACAGGGTATTATTTAAAATACAAACACAACAAAAATCTAGAAATTACAACCTACAAGAACTGCAACTTCATGTTAAAGGTAGAAAAGAAGAATTATTCTTCTTTTTTGATGACATATTTCTGACTTCTGTCAATATCAATATAATTGTCAATATCATCAATATCATCAATATCATTGTCAATATAATTCTTCTTTTCTACCTTTTATTCAAAATTTTAAATGTATTTTTTAATATTTTTAACATGTTTGTGACAGTGTTCTTCACCTCTAGGACCAACTGAACATTTTCAATGTAGGTTTTAAATGTTAATTTCCACCACTTGTACTAAAATAGGTTTTCCATTTAGGTGCTGATGAAGGTGACAACATATCACCGAAAATTTCACATTTAGAATAAAGTTCTACACCAAACTGGCTTATACCATCTCTAGCTGATCCTTGTTTTTGACGCTTTCCCGATAGTTACCCTCCAAAGAATTGTATTCTTAGCGTCGTTATACAAACTCTATATATATATATATATATATATATATATATATATATATATATATATATATATATATATTCTGTAAACCATTACACGAGGTATGTAGCAGTGATTTTATAAAGCCTGAACGTTTGCTCGTTTGCGAATCGCCATAGATAAATAATTTTAGTGCATACAAATCGATGAAACAGAAGCTAATCTAAGTATATCGCAATATCGCGTAAACAATTATTTTTAAAAAATCTCATTTCTTCACTACTAAGCCTTGAAAATGTCATGTTAATCTCGTAATTTAATACAATGTAATTATGGGTTTTAAAGAAAATAATATTTTGCAATAAATCTTCATCGATTCATAATAACTAACAAGTTTTATGCAGTTTGTGGTCACTTTTCTTATGAATATAACAGTAAATGTTTCCACTTGAATATACAGCGAATCATGTCATTAAATATAAACATTAGTTTATAAACAGTCATTAAATTATTTATAGTTGTCGATGAATGTATCTCATCATTATGGGGTACCTTTGTTGTTACTATATAGATCAGGTACCTACTTGTCAATTTAGACAAATTAATGAGGTCTAATGCTTTTTTATTTGATGTTTTATATCATTTTTACATTATTGATATTACAAAATAATTAATCGAAATTCTGACAAAAATTATATAAAAGCACTTCCTATGTGATTAATAAATACAATACAATGCTGCAAACGTATGTGCAGGTAAAGTCTTTTAAAAAGTAACTATTATTACCGCTATATGGGTTATCTAAACATATATTTATTTTATAATATTTCAAAAAATGATAAAAAATAGGATATTTATAACGTAATTAAAAAAATACTGCTATTGGCCCTATCATCAACATGGTGTCAGCAATATGGCCATTCTACACTAACTAAATTTTCAGCTTCAGAACAGTTTTATTAAATGTTAAGCAAATACAGTACAAAAACTTAATATTATCTTTATTTTCACAATCAAGAATTTATCAATTTTGTCTTTGGCTGTGAGACCCAAGCACTCTTCATGGACATAAGTGCTACATACGCTACATAGTCTGTTTTTTGTTTTTTGTTCTTTTTTTCTTAGCAGGCAAGGACTTCAATTTTTCTGTTGGATTGGGTAATTTTCGTAGCATTGACTTTTTAACGACCTGTAGTAGACGTTTTAGCTTCAATAGTTTCTGAATCTGAATTCTGGCTTCAATAGTTTAGTAACAACTTTAGCTGCAAAATGATTGCGAGGTCATAAAGCATATCAAAACAAGAAAGCTGGAATATTTAGGCCACATTACCAGAGGTGCGAAATATGAGATATTAAGGCTCATAATGCAAGGTAAAATAAAGGGTAAGAGATCCATAGAAAGACGAAGAATTTCCTGGCTGAGAAACGTGAGAGAGTGGTATAGTTGCAGCTCAGTAGATGTTTTTAGAGCAGCCGCTAATAAGGTACAGATATCCTAATGATAGCCAACCTCCGATAGGAGAAAGAACTACAAGAAGAAGAACAACTTGAGATCGACTATTGATAGCTAGTTTTCTTGGCTTTTTGATATTGTTCTTGATTGCTGCATTTCAGAAGTTTCAAGCATATTTGTGAATAAAGTATTGTGGATCTGTGAGGAATCACTCTAATCATCTTCTGAATCAATAACTTCATCGCTACTAGAGCCATGCAAACTAAAGGATGAGTCAGAGTTGCTACTATCAGTGTCTAGGAAGGTGAGTTTTTGGTTGAATACCCGAAGTAGAAGGACGACAAGAGTTGCTATTATCAGTGTCCAGACAAAATTCTTTTGAGCTATTTTTCGATTGTAATCCCAAAGCAGAATGACAACGGTAATCTTTGTGTTGCATGCCTGAAGTAGACAGATCTGCTTTATTACCAACGTTAGTTTCTGACAGTAGCACATTGTCTTTATCTTCTTGATATTGGTAAGTGATAGTACTAGAAGCAAATGCTATCTTTGGGATAGCTTCTGGGTTAAATAGATAAATTCCTGTTAAAGAAAACTCCGATTTTATATTAGATGGTGTCATTGTTTTGTCAATAACTCTGTTTAGTAATAACACGATCCCTATGGATAGAAAAATATTTCATACCTTCATCATCCCAGTAATATTCAAAAGCTCCGAATACAGCTTTGTCCATTGGTTGGAGCTCGTGAGTAGTATTACTATGTAAACAGGATAAAGTGATTTCGTATCTTTCGGCAGTTTCTACAATAGTGTGATCCAAGTGACATATTGCACCATCAAATATGATAATGTATGGACCAGCAGCCTTAAATTTTGCAAAGTGTTGAAACCAAACTGAAAAAGTTTTAATATTCATGCTGCCTTGTGCAGTCATTTGAACAACAGCACCTGGAGGTAATGAGTCAACCCATTCTGGATTCCTATGTTTAACCTTAAAGAGCAACATTAGAGGGATTGCTCTACCATGAGCATTAACAAAAGAAATGATGGTAAACTTTGTTCATGTTCGTTTGCAACAACATGTACTCTACTTGCAACTTTCTGCTGAAATTGACCTTCAATCTTTCTTGTCTACATTATATATCCGTTCGTGTTTATCGATTATATCGATTAATTAGTTGTTTAACTTGTATTCCTAACTTGTTTTTTGTTTTTTAGCGGAACCAGACTTTTATGTACCTTTAGACGACGACAATTATTTAATTAAATTCCTAAGGCCTTGTAGATATATACCAGAAAATGCCTTTAAAATAATGAAAAGGTTTTACTATTTTAAAGTAAAATACCCAAAATACGGTTTTGATATCACGCCAGCATCAATAAGACAAGTATTTGACACAGAAGTATTTAAGTTTTTACCAACTCGGACATCGACTGGTTGTAGAATTATGACAATCAGTGTAGGTAGGTTCCAATTTAATTAATTTAGTTACTAGGCTTTGTTTTCGTGAATAGCATTGCGTTTTTAAATTTGGATTCAATGTGTAATGTGAAAACGACTATAAACGAACATTCCTACTCTTAAAATGCATCCCTAGTTCAGATCATTCACATCATATAATTGATAATTGTTTATTAGACTGTGATGTTTTGTTTTTATTTGAAAATCTTGTTCCAGAATTACTAAAAAACTCTATTAGCATAGCTCCAGAATTGTTCTCCAGAAAGACTATTTTAAATAATTGGAAAATTGTATGACATCCTTGGTTCTCTATTACTTTTTCTTATAATCTCATCCTTTTTTTATTCATTTTCATTTTTGACTTCACCTTTTTTTACTTCTGTTTCATTTTCTTCAGTAAAAATTTGGATTTGTTTCACATATTTTTCATCAAATATCACACTTCGACATATCTATTATTACTGTATCCTACCAAATATTTTTCTTGACTTCTTTCATCGAGCTTTCCTCTTACTTCTTGAGAAAGGTGAGCACAAGCCTTCGATTCTAATGTTCGTATCTTTTTTAGATCTATTTTTTGATTAAACCAACTTTCTGCTGGAAGTTTACCACTTCGCATTGCAGTAGTTTTTAATCGGTTAATAATATATGTTGCTTCACCCTGTAAATTCTTAGGTAGTTCACTGTCAAAAAGTAAGTAACGGGTCATATTTATTTTGCTCAGAATTTTTAGGCACTGTAAATTCAATTTGAATCCCTTTAGACTTGCAAAAATTTTTAAATGCATGGAATCCACCATTGTCAGTACGTAACCTGGATATTTTAGTTTTTTTTTTATTTTAGTTTTAAATTGGGCACTTACCATTACTTCATATTTCATCAATTTCTCCAATACTTCACTTTTGTCTTTCATTTCATATCTGTCTTGATAACGACAAGTGCTACCTTGCAGAAACGTCGCCAAAACAATGTTTTTTCTCAAATGGCTTTTCTGTCTTATGGTGCTGTACATCATGCGGAATGATTTTGTTTATTAACTTTATTTTAAACATATTTTAGCTAACTGGGATACCAAGAAGGTAACCATGGAAGAACTGTTTAAGGCTGTAATGGTAAGCATGGAGATTGCCATGCTGGAGCCGAAAACGCAGTTAGGGGGCGTTCATGTGATTTTAGATACCGGAGGTTTGTCGCTAATGCATATTTACCAATTTTCTCCCTCCTTAGCAAAAATCATGTTAGAATGGATTCAGGTAATTGGTTTCTGCTAATTTAAACTTTTGAGTAATTTTAAGGAAATTCAAAAATCACTCAAGCGAGTTTTAACATAAACATGAAATACAAGTTTTGATATAAAAGTGTAATATCTAAAATCTGTCAAAAACTTATCCATAACTTCTTCGCTGAATATCCGTTTCGGATTTTGGTGATCAACATGGATATCCTTACTTTGCTAAATAGAAGCTATTCGGATTAGTACGGTTGCAGACGTTGTGATTTTGGGAAGCTCATTCCAACATCGGTAAGAAGAGTAAGATAATTTGGAATCGTAACACTTTATTAAAAGTGGAAGCTAAAGTTCTTATTATATTTCGAAAGTCTTACCACAACATACAATATTAAAAAAGTTGTATATTCTCAAGTTAAATGATCGGTATTAGCTAAATTCATAAAAAAAATTTCTATTCATTCTAAATTTGTCACAGATAGTCTAAATTCGACTCCGAAGCTGATCGCGTGTTTCTGTTGGTTGTGATTAAACCATTATTTTATGGTTTTATTAACTCAAAAAAGGGTGGCCACCAACGTGTTAATCTTTACATTAGACGAACAAATGATTTGAGACTTCTCTGTGGTGGGTTAGAAGGCTGAGGAAGGAAGGAATCATCGTAGTCTTGTCTACAATCATCTATTCTCAGTAGACTTTAAAACAAAGAACTATGTATTGTTAACGAAATACGAAACGAAATGCATATGATATCAAATAAAGGTAAAATTGTAATTACCACTAAATATTTTATATAAAAAAAAAACAACAAAAAATATCGTTCAGGTTTAAATTAGGTCACTAGATATCTCCTGTAATAATAAAAACAATTGTGAAACAATCTAGAAAAACTAAATAGTAATTATTTGATAAGTAATTTCTTATTATTAAAGGCAAGAGTAGTATTATTAAATTGTGTTTCAGAAAACAAAATGAACACTTAAACTTGAGCTGATTCCACGTAACCCTCAATCGCTGGGTTAATTAAAAATCCATACAAAAAGAAAAGAGCTACGGCGAATAAAGGCTTCAACTAATAGGTATACCATAATATAATCCATCATGCTATGCATAATAAGGTAGATCGATACAGTAGATCTATAACATAATAAACCTTACAAAATATCATCTATCGATCTGTGATCTAGAGCTGCTCCCTCAAACAAAAAAATAACAAACGAAAATTGATTCTTTATAGCTCCATCTGCCGATGTGTAGTGGAGGCATTAGATTCGAAACCTTGACTATCACGATCCTCGATGCCCATCATACAGACAAAGAATATAGACGCTTATATTAAGCGTAAGCGTCTATATTCTTTGATACAGATATAAAATTCTTCGGTTGGCGAAAGGCATCGAGTTAGAATCTAGATTCTAACTCGGTGGCGAATGGTTATAACAGGTCTTATGGCTAGGCAACTCATTATACATTCACAGTATCGTCACGCACAAATTCACAATATGGCTGGATGATATAATTGGATCATATCTTTTAGGAATGTGTGGCAGTACGATTAAAAGGAATCCATATTCTTAATCAACCTCTTATATTCAACATGGGTTACAAAATATTTAAACCATTTTTAGGCGAGAGAATAAAAAAACTGGTAAGTACTATACTATATTTTTAAAATATAATTAATTCTTGTTTGCCATCTGGAAACCCCATTTTCTACTGAGGTAACTATTATTCAATAAATAAAATATTAGTTTGATCCATTACATAATCGACAGTTGTGACTGAAACACCAGACTCAGTAAAACGAAAGTTTAGTCTAAATAAAAATATATTCAATAAAATAACAAACAAAATAAAATTTACTTCTATAAAATACGAAAAACAAAAAATTCTCCTAAGCAAATCAAACGGACTTCGGCTCTAGAAGCTGTTTTCTATGAACAGACATAAATATTGGCGGTGTTTGGTTGGGTGGGATGAAGAAAGGTCCTTAGTCAATACCCCAAAGATCGAGGACCTAGCGATCACTACTCGACTAAGGTGAGGTGAAGTATGGTTCACATCAATACTCCGGATCCAACTTGGTTTTCGTTGCTCTGCACAGCATTTTATACTCTCGATCGGTGTTTAATTTTCAGCTCGCATTGATGGTAGTTGTTAGTTGAAGGTGGGGATGAAAGCACAGGGAGAGCTAAATATTAGCAAACCATGACAGCAGTCTTCGGCGTTATCATTATCTTTGGAAAAAAATGTAGTATAAACTTTTTTATGGCGTGAAAATTACAAATGTGTGATCTTATCCACCCTACGTAGTAACTTAAACTTTATTTTTCTGCTATTATTGCAGGTAATTAGTTTTTTTTCTGGTACAATCCATATTAGTACCATCAACATTGGATACAAAAAATGGTAAAATAAAGACAAATGTGTCTCAATCGGTATTTTCCCTTTAACGTCCCTTGCTGGATACATTTTTATCAGGTTAAGATATATTAACTTGTGACAAGAACATGACAAATCAATGTTGATGGATTTCTTCCCTATTAGCGTGTATTTCGCATGAAATTGATGCCACAAGGCCAGAGCGTTAATCAATATTACTATTTAGAGATTTTACGAAGAGTCCCAGAACAAATTTTCAAAATATGTCAAAATGTGAAAAGACCGCGCCAACTTCAAACGGTCATTCTGTCAATCAGGTCAATTGAATTTAATCTGATCAGGAATTCTATGTTACTGAACATATGTATCAACCAATGCTCTTTACTTATTTTATGAACTTGATACCATTGTCATACCATTCAAATGTACTTACCACATTACAGATTTTAAGAAAAAAACACATTCAGATCAATTGTATTGCGTCATATTGAATAAATACTCATCATTGATCAGCTGAAGGTATATTAGCTTGGTAGTGAATAACAAGGATAACAATATATCATAAAAAATATTAGGTTTCTCAGATTGGATTATGATATATAATTAAAAGGGATGGCAAATTATGCAGATTCATGATAAGGATTGATACAAGCCAAGTAAACTTAAAATAATCGAAGAATAAATCACAAATTAAACTAAACTAAAAACAAATTAACTTTGTTTTACTTTCACTATTTAGATATATGTTGTCCTAACCAATGCTCCACCCTAAAAAGTATTCTGACAAAAATATACTTATAATATCAAAAATTTGACAATTAAATTTATAAGTGTACCATTATCTTCCTTTTAGTTATTTTTTCATGGACAAAACCGACAAGTTCTGCTAGAGCACATTTCACCCGAGGCTCTAACACCACAATACGGTGGAACTGCAGATGTTCCAGATTATCCCGGTACTTTATTCTCGGATATGCTGTTTTATTACGAAGAAGACTTTCAATGTAAGTATTAGAACATATTAAAATTAATCCTTTCTTGCTTGATAGAATCCAATATATTCCTAACTTTATTATAGTGGATTAACTTCATCATTTATGACACTATCAAGACAGATACCGGTACTTATTTAGTCAAGATCTACTCTAAACCGCACTTTCGACATACTCTCTGATGTACTCTTCAGGGAAATCCCAAAAGGGTATCAGTATACTGAGCCCCCAGATTTCTATACAATACTCTTTCTTCTTCTTAGAGTGCCGTCTCCCTACGGAGGTTGGCAATCATAATGGCTATTCTTATTTTAGAACTTGCTGCTCTAAACAAATCAATCGATCTGCATTGGTACCAATCACGTAGATTCTTTAACCATGAGTTCTGCCTTCGGCCAACAGATCTTCTTCCTTGAATCTTTCCCTGTATTATCAGTCTCAAAATTTCATATTTTGGTCCCCTCATCACGTGGCCTAGGTATTCCAGTTTTCTGGTTTGTATAGTGGTGATTAGTTCTGTTTCTTTACCAACCCTCTCCAGTACTTCTTTATTTGTAATTCTATCAGTCCATGATATTTTCAATACTCTGCGGTATAACCAGAGTTCGAAGGCCTCGATTCTTTTTAAATTACATTTTTTTAATGTCCAAGTCTCAGCTCCATATAATAATATTGAAAATATATAACAGCGAATGGTACGTAGTCTGATCTCCAAATTTAGATTTTTGCACGTTAGGAGTGGCTTCATTCGTATAAATGCTGATCTGGCAATCTCTATTCGTCTGTTTATTTCTACAGTATGATCATTGGTTTCATTGATCAAAGTTCCCAAATACTGATATTTTTCTACTTGTTCTATCACGTTACCATTTATTGTCAATAGGTGATGTATATTTTGTCGCCTTTTTGTAATCAGCATGTACTTCGTTTTTTTGGCGTTTATAGTAATTCCCATCTCAGCACTATTTATACTCAAGCTTTCGATAACAATACTCTTTAAGATGTACTAAGTTCTGAAAACGATGAGAATAATGCTGATCAAGGAATAATAATGCTACTCCTAAAAATGTATGTAAAGTAATCAAAAACAATATCAATTTCAAAAAGGCAACAGAAGAAATACTAAAACAATTACCTAGGAAGGCCATTGTAAAAATCAAAAACCTTATAAATACAGTATTTAAGTTAAAATATGTACAAATAATGTGGAAAATACCTAAACTAATCATGTTTTACAAACCAAGGAAATCAGTAAATAAAGTAGAATGGTATAGACCAATATCGTGGCTATCAATTATCTCCAAATTTTTTGAGAATATATTGCTAGTAATAATACAACCTATACTGGACCTATCTATCTCTATCTATCTAATTAACCTTAAACGCCCACTCTTGGGCATAGGCCTCCCCTGTTAATCTCCATTGGTCTCTATTTTGGGCGATCTGCATCCAGTCCTTTCCTGCCGTTCTCTTAAAATCGTCAGTCCATCTCATCTGTGGTCTTCCTCTTTTTCTTTTCTTTTCCCATGGTTTCTAGTGTAGAATTCGCTTATTCCATCTTTCATCTTTTTGCCGGAGAGTGTGACCAGCGAAGTTCCATTTAAGTTTTGCAACCTGTCTTAATACATCGTTAACCTTTGTTTTTTCTCTGATCCATCAGTTTCTTTTCCTGTCTTTAAGACCAGGAAAAGAAACTCATGGATCAGAGAAAAAACAAAGGTGAACGATGTATCAAATACTGGACCACAAAGAAATAATTTGTTTCTATCAATTTGAATTCCGTAATAAAAACTCAAAAATAGACAAAATACACTGCATAACAAATATTACAGAGAGATCTCTAGAAGAGAATGAAATATGCTCAGGTATTTTCCTAGATATAGCAAAAACAAAGGGTGGCACAAAGCCTTGTTACTTAAACTCAAAAGATATATTTCTGTTTACTATATCTAGCTAATACAGTCATATTTAGAAGACAGGACCTTTAGAGTTAAACGGGAAGGCAAATATTCAGATCTGCGACCAATCAAATCGGTAATTTCACAGTGCAGTGTTCTGAGACGCATCTTCTTCTTCGCGTGTCATATCAGACTTCTCGATCTTCTTCAATATGAAATAATTGTCCTGCATTTGATATCTGAGTCCATTCATGAATGTTTTTTAACCAAGTAACTTGTTTTCTTCCTACGGCCCTCTATTTTGCCTTAAAGGATCAGTTGTAATACATTATATGGACTTCCCCTTACTATATGTCCCAGATAAGACATTTTTGATGTTTAATAACAGTTCTCTATCTTTGTTAACGCTCCTTAGTACTTCTTCATTAGTTTTCCCATTTCATCAGTTTTAATGCCCATTTCCTCTCCTACCTCGTGAATACGATCAAGCAGAATTTGGAGACCTTCAATATTACCTGACAAAATTACTGTATCGTCTGCATACCTAATCACATTAGATAGTTCTCTGTTGATTTTTATTCCATATGGTTGTCTCTCAAGTGCCTTTTTAAATAACTGATCCGAGTAAATATTGAACAATGTTGGCGACAAAATGCAACCTTGTCTAACTCCTCGTTGTATGGAAATTTCATCGGTGTAGTTATATCCAGTTTTTACAATAGGAACGCATACTATATTTATTATATACCTGTGACATCATTGTTACGGTAAATATTAAACTGACCAGATTTGCAGACGAGAAATCAACTACACACCTCCAAAATGCATTAAACAAAGTAAGAACCCAGAAGTAAAAATTGATCACCCAGTTTGAGTATACCATAAAATCGTCCCGTACAAGAAAACCGTTGAATACCTAATGTTACATTTGGATAGCAAATTAAAGCGGCAGAAACATATCAGAAGGAAAATTAAAGATCTGAAACTGAAATCTGAAAAAGTTATATTGGTTATTAGCTAGAAGATCATAATCAAAAACAAGGTGTCAGTTTACAAGCAAATGCTTTAACCAGTACGGTTGTATAGTCTACAGATATGGGACTATACTGGTGAAAAATCCAGGATTTACAGGAAAAACAGCAGTTCAAAATTATATCGCCTCAATACTTTTCTTTCAAAGATTTTGCCATGATGTGTACAAATCCTATTTAGACGTGCCAATGTTTTACTTGATAGCTCAAAGCCAGGTGGTTATGTATGATATATGGTAGGTTCTGCGCTTGTGGAGATGCCTTCTCAGACCAATCCGTCTGTCAGAAAGATACAGAATTGAAATTTTACACAGCACACTTTGCTCTTTGAGGCTCAAGACCTCTTTATGCACTGATAGTTGAGTGTTATAGGTGATTTTTTTATATTCATATCGATTTCGTAAGTGATGGACGACTTAGAAATGGAATATGGACATTAGGCAATTCATACAATTATGGAAGTACCGATTTCCCTTTATCCTATGTTCTATTACTTAATATTTATAATTTTTAGGCCTAATAATATATAAGAGAAAGTTTCACGAAAAAAAAAGATTAAAATTTGTGTTGTAGTTTTGAACGAATTGAGTGAAACCTATTGATAAATTTACTAAAGTTTATCTTTTATGCATCTAAATATTCTTAAACTGTCTTTCTTATAAACTCGATAAATGTTTAAAATATTTATTTCCTTATTTTTTTGTAATTGGGTTCCAACCAAGCCTGGCGAACTAAATAAACGAAAATGTGTCGCTCAATTGTCACTGAACTTTGTAAACCTCGCCGAATAACAATAGTGTGATGTCTGTATCATTGTTTAATTTAAATAATGTGTCGATGACACTTCTTGATTCTATATAGGTATGTCAAGTTCAAGCATTAGGTCAATATCAGGGAGGTATCGAAGATAATTGTGTAGTTGGATTTTTTTCAAAAATCCAAAGAAAAAAAAACGTTAATAGTGCAAAAAATTAAATCTATCTTTGCAGAAAGTATATTATATTTTAAACAGATAACGAAACGGTATTAAATTAAAAATAAAAATGATAACAAGAATTTCCAAAATAAATTCAGAGCAGGGAGGTGATAAAAAGGTAGGCTGCTTAAAATTAAGTAAAAATAGTTTTCTCCAAATGTGGAAACACCAAAAAAAGTTTTGATACTCATAGCTTGAAAGCGTCAGGAGCCCAAGATTTGCCTCAAGTCTTTATTTAAAAACCAAACTATTCTTCGTATGAATTTTTTAATAAATATAAAAGTTGCGTTTGATAACCCAAATCACGCAAAATTTACTGAGTATTTACATAATGCTAGATTCTGGCATACTCCTCTTGATCTTGTGTGGCTCTAAAGTGCATGGGCATTGAAGTTTGTCCAATCACTTATATTTTTAAGCCATGATGCTCGATTGACAGAGTTTTTATTTCATTATCTAGGCCTTTATCCCAATGCACGGTCGGCTTCAATACTTCAAAATATAAAAATATCAATTCCATTTACAAACATGTTCTACCTAAGTGTCTCACAGTTTTGTTTCAATTATATTGCATGCTATTATAAACTTCAAGCCTTACGTTCTAGAAAACTTTTAGGTTATGTAAATAAGTACCAACGCAGTATGGTTGACTTAGATTGAACCATGAATTTAGACAGTTGCACTTAAAATATCTTTACTTATAATAATTTCTTTTGCAGTATACAACACATACGGTTATAAATCAGCTCAGAAGAAAATAGAACAATAGTTTAGAAAATACGATCAAAGAGACTTTGCTAACCTTACAACTTTATACCAAATTATTATTTAACTATCTTAATCTCATGACATTTTCCGGCAGTACTACATAATAGATCTAACTTAATTGAGAAGCGTTGACAGAATATTTTTGGACAAGAAAATTTGCTTGTAAGTCACTAAAGATCTTATATCGCCTGTAAAATTGTCTTTTTTATGCTGGTGTGCAACTAATATTCAATCGTCTGCTTAGATCTATTAATGTGTTATGTAGTACCATTGACTAAAAGCTACTACACACAAAACTACTACTACTACTACTACTACTACTGTGTAGTTTTTAGTCAATGGTACTACAATAGTAAATAATGAAAAAACGATTTATATTTATTTTTAAAGCTGTTACTGACAGAAAATTGTAATTATTTTTTAAAATAAAATTATTTTTATATTTATACAAAAGTGATTTTATTAAAAATGTGTATTTATTATTGCTTAAAACTTTCTTGCTGTCAAGTGTAGCACTTTGACCGTTGTCTGACCTTTCTATAGTCACAATAAATAAATCAATAATACACTTATTTCTAACAGGCTTACACCTAATCAAAATAATGAACAATGTAAAAGAAATAATAAGTGAGAACAAAAATACAAAAAAGGAAGAAAAAATATGGAAATTCAGTAGAAAATTAAGCACATAGAAATGTTAGAAGTATACAGGGTAAAAAAAAAATGAATCAGAGATAGAGTTTGCAGAAAACTTACCTACTAGCAATCGCTGAGACTAAAAAGAAAGGACGAGGAGTGCAAAAATCAGAGAAACGACATTTAATTGTATATAGCAGAGTAACAAAAACCAGAGGCACAAAAATACGGAGAAACCCAGAAATATGAACTGGCCACTACTTAGTTGTTTGACAAAAATAAAAAAAAAAACGACAAACAACCCAAATATAGCAAAAATATGTTTGAATATGAACCGTTAAGTCTCACAGACTAACAATTAGAGAAATTTCATAGAAATATAGCAAACCAATGGGAAAGATACCTGATGGAACTGTTTAAAGGAAAGGAAAATAATACTCAGCAAAATAACGTACCTGAATTAAGATACGAAATAGAAATCAGTTTTCAGGAAGTAGAGATAGCGATAAATTCACTCAAAAATACAAGGTCATTACGAATAGACGGAATAACCAACGAGCTTCTAAAACACGGAGAAAAACATGCCAATCAATATTATACAAACTATCGAAAACATCCACTTCCATAAACGAATACAGGCAAGGATAAATGGAACACTAACACAGTGTATACCAGTACAAAGCGGAGTCAGACAGGGTGATTCGTTAAGCCCACTTCTCTTTAATATAATAATGGACAAAATAATACTAGCAGTACGTAAAGGTCATAGTTACATAATGAGAAACAAATAAATCCAAATATTCAGCCAAGAAAAACAATATATTAATATCAGCAGAAAAAATCAAATGTCAAATTATAAATTATTTTGTGGGGTCTTAAAGTCACTTAAAAAGACCAAACCTAATAAATAAATAGCATAAAGGATAAAGAAATATTAATAATTTATTGTTTTTATTTTATTTTTATTTTATTAATAACATTAATAGATGAAAAATAAAAAAAACAGGTAGAGACAAATTAACAGCAGAAATAATAAAAACATGACAGAAAAAGCAACAGAAGTACTACTAAAGGTATATTATAACATACCTTGGAAAGAAGAGCAGGTTTTAAAGGATTGACAAATGAAATCGATAGTCCCTATTTCCAAAAAGGGTTCAAGAAAAGACTATGTTAATTGAGAGGCATTATATTTCTAAGCATTACAATTATAGTATATAAAAAGATACTGGACAAAATTGAAAATTTTAGCACTAGTATTTTCAAGACCAGAGACAAAACCATTTTGGTTGCTATTGTATGTTGAGTATAGTTTTTTTGGAAGATCGTGGAAGTATTCTAAACACTATACCATTGCTCTGTGTGTATTAGATTGAGGTCAGAGGAAAACATCCGAGCTTATTTCCCCCTGGCTAGATGAATTCCTACAAACGGATGTCTTCCTGTTGCCCGGAAATGGGACAATTCGCCGTCGCCAATTCGCCGTCGCCGATTCACCGTCGCCCATTCACCGTAGGGACAATTCACCGGCAGCCGATTCGCCGTCGCCGATTCGCCGTCAGAAATTTAATTTTGAGCATGTTTATTAATAACATTTGGTTATAAAAATAAGATTTTAGGCAACGCATTATTTTATGGTAAGTACCTATTTATTAATGTTTATTGAGTTGGTGTTTTATTTTTATTAGGAATAAATTAATTTTTTAATAAAACAAAACATAAAACAATGGATGCTTTGTTTCATTTATTTAGCAAAAATATTTAATTAAACATAAAATTATATGAATTAAGTTTTCGTTAAACACCAACCCTCAATAAATGGGTACTTACGAAAAAAAAATGATTGCCTAATTTTTTGTTAAACTTTTTTTATTTCAACAATAATTTAAACAAAAAATTGAATCCTTGAATCATTATTCACTGGTTATTAATGGTCATTAAATAAACAACAACTATTTTAACCCACATTAGAAGATCAACCACCCTAATTGTTTCTAATTCTTGTTAAATATTTTATTCCTAATAAAAATTTAAACATCAACACACCATTAATTGGTACTTACTATAAAATAATTTATTGTCTAAAATCTTCTATTTATAACCAAGTGTTAATAATAAACATTCTAAAAATTAAAATTCTGACGGCGAATCGGCGACGGCGAATCGGCTAACGGTGAATTGTCCCTACGGTGAATGGGCGACGGTGAATCGGCGACGGCGAATTGGCGACGGCGAATTGTCCTAGACCCCTGTTGCCCTGCCTACCAACTAAAACCATTCTTTCTTTGTCAACATCGATGTACGTCTTCAGTTAGTGAATAAAACTTAGGGGTGTCTTGCGTTGCCTAAATTGATGATGACAATTTTTTGCCTGTTTTTAGCACTAGTGTCTAGAGCCTGACCCACTATTCTGTGTAGACTTGAGCAGTTCATTTGTATTCATTTCTGAATGTGATGAATATGAATATGAAATGATGAATAGTTCCTCGAAAAGCTCTGTTTTTTTAATATTTTTTGTTGTGCATATGTTTCCAATAAAAATGTGTTATACAGAGTGTGATGTCATGTAAATACCGATGCCAACTTTATTATTTTAGATGGAACACCAGGTATATTATTTAGTTATTGGATCCAATACAAAATCCAAAGAACTTTATCCATATATTGGATTGCCATGCTTTTATTTAACTGTTTTTATTATACAATGTATTAAAAGCACAATCCCTTCCATATTAACTTTTAAATATATAGCCTTTAAGATACCTACTTATGTACGGTCCATTTTACACCTGGTAGAAATATAGGCAGGTTTCATTTATTTGACATAATATCTATTTTAAAAGAATATACGTACATATCTTAGAGTACTATATACATTATTAAAAACAAGTTGAGATACGAAAATGAACTTACTCTTCTTTATTGAAATTAGGTATAGAACCTTTTAAAGTCATAAGGAGACACACAGAGAGTGATCTATTCATTAACCACCCTGTATCCTAAAATAAGTTAATTAAAACTATAACATGCAATATATCAAAGTTCTGGGAATGTTGTGCATAATCCAAAAATTTTATAATATACCTAACCAATGTTTCATTTAAAATACGAAAGTTGGTATCATGGTAATTGATATATAACATCAGTCAACATCCTGTATATAAAATAACAAATTTTACTGGAAAAAATGCGCAAAAAGTATTTTTTAAATAATTTTTAAAACTATTTTAAAAAACCTTTAATTTTGATTTGCTATTAGAGTTATTCTTATGCAACCAACAATAGATACACATAAACGTCATTGTCACATTCAGATGTGGATACAAATGAACTGCGCAAGTCTGCACAGAATAGTGGGTCAGGCTCTAGACACTAGTGTTTTTAGCTAGGAGCGGTAAGGAACAAGAAGATGTATGTAAAATAGTGACATGGCCTTGCTGATGGAATTAACTAAGAGCAGTAAGGAACCAGCGGGAAAGTATATAGAATGTATAGGTACCTATACCAGGTAGCAATAAGGTATATGAATACTAGGTAATAGGTAATACTAGGTAACAATAAGTGTAGTAAATTCATACTTACATACATAAAGATACGAATACATATATACACACACATACAACTATCTATATATTCATGCATAATAGGTATTTACTTAATGATAAGTAATTTTGAATGGAGGGAGGCGGATTGCCCCAGAACTCTGTCTCACTTGATAATTTTTGTTACTTGGTCTATAAGAACATCAAAGTTCTCTCTGCTTTTCATAGCGACACATATCAAGTTATCAGAGGATATCTCTCCTAGCTTTGTTCGCATTATATGTTGTTCCGACGCAAAAACCTTGTACCTGAAGATACAATGCTCCGCATCGTTTTCTACGTTACATATGACACAATTATCATCTCTGGTTTTTCAAATACGATACGTGTAAGATCTGAAAGATCCATGCCCGGTCAGAAACTGCATAAAATAAAAATTTACTTACTTTAACTTACATTTATACCACTCTATCACATTATGTATTAATTTTTTGGTCCATTGTGCATTATCTATATGTACCTTCCATTCTGCATGCTATTTCGGTCATAATTGTGCTCTAATGGCGGCTCTAACCTGAGGTAAGTTGCTGTCTCGAGAGTTATAGAGCATCTGTCGTTCTTTCACTAGGAGGTGAATAAGCAGCGTACCCGCTATCACCTGTAGGGTCATCGTTAAAGTACTCCGGTACGCACTTAGGGGTTTTCGCTGGGCTCTGGCTATCATGTCTCTGTACTCTTTGTAATTTAATACATCTGCCTAAATGAAGTTCCATATAGCAGAGTTGACTGTACCACTTGCAGGTACATCCTTCGTTTTTGACTGCTTGGACCTCCTATATTCGGCATGATCCTTTGTAGGGCTGTCGTTCTTTCTTTCGCCCTCTAACCTACATTTGTCAAGGTGTTTCGTGAATCTTAGACCTATATCGATGTATATACCTAGGTATTTTGCACAGTTTGTAGGCAATAGTACTACCAATTTGGAAAGTTATCTCGGCTCTTAGTCGTGGTCCTTATAGTACGATCACTTACGTTTTGCTTCCTGTCAGTTGATCGTTTCTAGCCATCAACCTGTTGAATCTTCTGCAGCATATGGTGTCTTTGTCTTTGATTTCCCAGTTTATGTCATTGGTGACTAATATCGCCATGTCATCTCCGTATGCGATAGCTAGAGTGCTCTTTACCATAGTCGATATCTAGTACCCCGTTATATAATGTATTCCAGAGTGTTGGACCTAATACGGCACTTTGATATATCCTGACACTCGTGCTGATTTCAGTTTTGTCATGATATGTGTCCAGTTGGCAGTTGAAGACATTCTTTACATCAAACATAACCAGGATGGCCCATATTGAGTATAGTAGGGATACCAAAATGGTGCATGAGGCTTTAGAAGTGAGAGATCTTGAAAGTTCTTCACGTTGATGCTTTTATCTGAGATATACGAGTAGAGAAACTTGACAAAAGGGATGGATAAGATGATGTTCAGTTGTTTCTTCAAAAGATTAGCATATTAGACTTAGTCGAAGGAATTCTGAACATCAAGAAAAATGCCAAGGAAGTACTATTTTGTCATTTTTGTACGATAAGTTTATTAATAACAAACTATATAAATAAGTGGCTTCATGGTCTTCTCAAATTATCACTTTTTTTATCGTTGATGTATAATTTTGGAGGTTTTGTTCATTAATTCCTACTGAAAGCACATATACATAGGTACATAAAATTTCTGCACAGTGTTCTTAAATACGTAATGGGGGGTATTTTCTTTATATTAAAACGAACCAAAAACAAGTATGATTTTTTATTCAATAATGAAAAACATACGAATAACTAACATAAAACTAATAATTACTGTAAAACAAATTACTATTAAAGAAAGTGATGAAAGCTATCACAAATATTTTTAGGTTATAATACTCGTACAATAATTATAATAGTAACCTAAAAAAAGACAGTAAAAGTATAGTAGAAATCACTAAAGAACAAAATGTTTATGATAAACATGAAATACTGGTTTTTATTAATATTATAATTGTGTTAAAAATATGACAGATTTGATTGTTCAAATATTTTACAGGTATCGACCAAATAATTCCCTAATTTTATAATTAAATAAAGTATAAATAAAGTTTAATAGTTTAAAGGGGTTCAAGTGAAAGAAGACCCAAATAAAAGTGGAGAAAAGGGGTAGAAAAGCGGTAGGAATAGTGTTAAAGTTTGCTTCAGATTAATACTTCATGTGATGAAATGTAGTAATATTTTAATTGTGAACTGCTTTAGATATAATTTTCAACAATCGATGATTCAAAGAAGGAATAAAGAAGCTTAGAAATTTGTTTCTTAAAAATCTTATTAAAGTTCATGCAATCAATCTGCTTATAAGTCAGAATTTATGTTTATCTTAAACTAAAACAACCAGAAGAAAGAAAAAGGCTTACACCACTTGTTTCTAATCTAAAATGTATAAAAGTTATCAAAAAATTGATGAAAATATTGTTAACACATTTAGTCCTTTGAGCCTTTGTCTAAAATTAAAAGATTTAATGAAAAAACTGGCAAAATTGCTATAAAAATAGAATACGATTTTATATAAAAATAATAAATAGTTATTATCTCTATTATGCTGCGAAATATACGACGACCCAGTTTGTCGTTGTAATATGGCTGGGTATGGTGCGTTGTTTTTGAAGTTATCGTCCTTATAGCTCTCCTTTCTTCTTATAACCGAAAGAGTTGATAGCTGTAACAAAAAATTCAATTAAAAAATTATACTTTGTTGAAATTACTGCAAATGATATGCAAACAGAAAGTTTTTTTTTTTTGGCTTTAGAGTAAATACCCAAGCAGCCAGAAACAAATTTTTAAAAACAGATACATGGAATACACAGGGATTACACTCTTCTCGCCCAGGGGCCGATCAGGGCATTTTTATAAACGATAACAGGTAGGCCTCGGACAGATAGGTATGCATACATTAAGGAAAGACAAAAGGAATTAACAAAGGTGGTTATATTTGTATATTCGTTGTTCTGACGAAAGACAGCAGACAATCGTAAATTTCTTTTTTTTTTCTAAAGCAAGAAGATGCAGTATATTAAATGGGCTTTCAATGTTTAATTTTAAAAGTTTACTGAAAAGCTCATTAGATTGAGCTCTATATTTTAAACAATCAAAAAAGATGTGGTCAAGATCACCGATTTTATTACAGGCTTCGCAAAGATCACTCTCAAGTACTTTTATTTTAAATAAATGTGCTGGATAGCATGCGTGACCAAACTTCATTCTGCTGATAGTAGTTATACTTTTTCTACTGTAATTGTACTCATTGTACCAAGGTTTTCTCCTTAATTTGGTTTGAAGTCTGGTGTAACGTGTTGGATTTGTGAAGCTGTACTCTTGCCATAAATAGGACCATTTCTTCATCATTCTCTGTTTTGCTATGATTATTTGTTCGTCTGTAGTTGATTCGTAATTTATTTGTTCCCCCATTACTATGATTTCTTTGGCAATTTGATCTGCAATTTCATTGTTTGTTATTCCTGCGTGTGCTTTGACCCAGAAGAATTTTACATATTTATTCTGATCTTGTAATTGTTTAAGTATTGTATAACAGAAAGTTTATTGTTCAGAAAAGTTTACATCGCTGGTGCCTCCTAAGAAAATCACCCTTAATAATTTTTCGGTGAAAATACTAACTCTGTTATAAGTTTCAGCGAAACTAATTATTTTATTTCTTTGGCAGCGAAGACTGTAACTACTAAAAGTTTGCAGCGAAAAGAAATTTTCTCGATAAATATGGCCGAAATAAATTATTTTTATCTACATACTCGCAAAGATAACTTTTAAAATATTTGCAGCGAAAATAATTACGTTTGAGCTGCATCAAAAAAAATTATTATAAAGACTGAATGCTTAGAGTTAGGTGCAAGAAATAGAAGGAGACAATTGAATGGTGGTCTGCAACAATGTTGTAAGCGACAGATTTGATCAAAGTGAGGTTTTAAGGCAATATTGTTGTATATCCAAAGACCAATGCAAGCATCTTTCAATCTGGTTAAAAACATTTTGCCTTCCCCGAGTTCTTCGTACCGCAATGTTGGTATCCGTGCAAAAACGTTGTATGTACATCACAGTAAAACTACTATCACTGTAAAAATTAAGGTTAACGTGTCGCTGTCTAGCCTTTTGCACATACATAGAGGGAAACAACGCAAAATCAATATTAACCAGTGGAAGAGAAACATCCATAAGCGTCAGAGAAATGCAGGGGAAGCATATATCTGCTAGAATCGAGAATATACCAGCAATACCTCGTCCATATGAGGTGAGTGCAACAATCTTCTATATTTTGTTAGGAAACGCATTTTTTTATAGCCTTATCAATGTCGTTAGCTTTGTTATGATCTGTGCTTGTCCGTAATGAGTGTATGATTTGAAATTCGGCATCTTTCGATAATTTCGATAACTTCAAATAAGTATTTTTATATTTTAGGAACGACTATGTAAGTGCAAATCTTTTTGCGTTTGGAGATCTCTTCACAACATTTCATATGCTAGATTATAATGGACAAACTGCGCACTTGGTCAGTTGTATGGAACTCTAAGAACCACAACGTAGACAGACTCCAGAAGACATCTCTAGACGACAATGTACTGTTACAAAACCACATCTAGATTGGACTGAAGAAACTATCGGTGTGCCAAAAAACTATCTGTCAAGCATTTGGAATAACACCTCGAAAAATCCAACATATTTAGCAAAAGATAAAAACAGATATGCCGCTAAGGGATCAACGTGGAAAACACAATAATAGGCCCAATAAAATCAACGAAATCGACAAAGAACGTACAAGAAAACCATTATAGTCGCGCTGCATCTACGACGAACTGCCTTCCTGCTGAATTAGACTTGAAAAAAATGTACAAAGTGTTTTGTGAAAAGTGTCCGCAATGCATGTAATGTTTCCCAGCACACTAACACTGATATATTTTAATCAGTTCCGTTTGCTGATTGTGAATAGATATTTTACTCAAGTATAACAAAAGTTCTAACTAGCGGTCACAGCTTCTTACCTTCCGACCAAGACTTCTCGCTTATAGAGAGAAAGAAAAAAAGAGCCGTAGTGAATGTACCCTTCGACTGGGTGGCAGTGATTGCCAAGTTACGTCCCAGCAACACCTTCAATGTGTATTACATGAAGCAAACAGACTTCAAAGACTTTTCAGCACGTGAAAACTACTTATGAAAAGATCCCAAATGTTAGATCACTGAGTACCGTTGGTTCAAATTCGACAACGATGATTCTACGAGAATAATGGTTAGAACTTCTCACAACGTCATGAAACCTTGACAAACATTCTCACTTGTGAATAAAAAATGGGGTGCACAAGCCATCCGAGCATTCAACTACCAAATTGATGTGTTGACGAATACGTATACCGGATCTATAAAAATAAAAGAAAAAAAACGCAAACATCTACTGGATATGTGCCAGTATCTGAAACCCAAATACCGAGCGTTTTATGAAAAATTAGAATAAGATGGAACATTATTTTTAAGTTTAAATTTAAGGAGCATTAAACTGTGTACTTAGCATATAATAGTACATTGTTTACCGGGTAGGAGAAGCTTAACATTCCTGGACGACTGTGAAGATTGCTAAGTCGAGGCTTGCGCCTCGACTTAGCAACACAGAGTCCAGGAATGTGGCTTTTCCTACGAGGTAAACATACTATTTCTCCGCAAATCGTTTAAAATTCGACAGATATTGATTGATTTAAAAAAAAAACGCGATAATTTTATTCCCAAATAAATGGTGCTTTAAATTCCTAATAAAATTACTTGGGTTACTATGGAAACGTATTGAGGTTGAATTGTCAAACTTGACGCTTATAAATTTAATTGCTGGTATTCTCGAAAGTAAAATGATAAGTGATGATGAAATTTCCATTCCTGGGATTCCTCCAGAGCTGGTTGAGGCAGTGAATACTGCTTCATTAGAATTATTGCCAAAGAAATCAAGAGAAAAGTACGGAAATGCATACAGACGTTTTATGGATTATCGCATGAGTAAAAATACGAGTTCTTTCTCAGAAAATGTTGTAATGGCATACTTCTTAGACCTTTGTTTAAAGATGAAATCTTCAACATTATGGGCCAATTATTCAATGCTTAAGTCAACCCTTGCAATTAAACACAATGTAGATATATCTACATACTCAAAACTTCGTTCTTTATTGAAACGGCAAGCTCAAGGTTATAGGGCAAAGAAATCTAAGATTTTAACGAAGGAAGAAATTGAAAAATTTATCCAGGAAGCTCCAGATAAAGAAAATTTAATGATTAAGGTAATTTACAAGCTTTTAATTTCTATTTAGATTATAGCTTTATTTATTTTTTAGGTGGCTGTAATATTTGGTATTTCTGGGGCCTGTAGAATGGATGAGTTTGTCCGAATGACTGTACACGATATAGAAGACTTAGAATCTAAGCTTTTAATCAGCATACCTGATTCGAAAACCAACAAACCAAGATCATTTGTAATTAATCAGATCTACTTGAATGTTTATCGAAAGTATGTTTCGTTGAGACCAGAAAATATGAACAGTGACCGATTTTTCTTTAAATATCAAAGCGGAAAGGGTTGTAGACAAGTGGTAGGAATTCATCAATTTAGAAAAATGCCCAAAATAATTGCTACTTATTTGAACATGGTAAATCCGACAGAATATACTGGTCACTGCTTTCGTCGGTCTTCTGCAAAAATATTGGTTGACTCTGGTGCCGACATAACTAGTTTAAAGAGGCATGGCGGATGGAAGTCATCAAACGTTGCTGAAGGATATATCGAAGAATCGCTTAACAATAAGGTTAAGGTGGCAAATAAAATTTTCACAGTACAAAATATTCAACAAAATGACACTTCCACCCTGCATGTTGTCCAAAATGTTTCTCATAGTTCTAAGAGTGCTCCTCCAATGTTCAATAATTGTACTAACTGTCAAATTACTGTAAATATAACAAATTGACCTTAAAAATGTATTCAGCATTGACTTGATGTTTTTAAAATATAAATTAATTCCTTATAAGCAATGTGTTTTCTATCATTTATGTAGAACACTAACAACTGTACGGAAATATCATTTCCTTACAGTAAGGAAGTCCTGACTTTTTCTTCAAGAAATTTTGACAGGAATGTCAAAATTTCCTGGCGATTTGCGGAAAAACATATTAATAAATATTTTGAATTGATTATAGTTAATTATTAATATAAGTTACTTTTTTTAAAACCTTCAAATAAGCCAAAACATCGCATAGTAATCAGGTGCAACACTGTTATATATCCAGTATATACAACATTGTTGCTGGGATATTTTTTTGAAATAATTTTTTTCTTCTTACTCTGTGTAAACTTGCATAATTTGTTTACACATCTATAACTTTATATTGTTGTTAAGTGAAATTGATTTTTTTTCAGTGCTAATTTTCATAAATAATTTGTCAATATGTTTTTCATCTCTTGAATAATCTCAATTCCGTCGCTTACAATATTGTTGCGGCCAACTATTCAATTCCTGTGTTGTGTGACAGAAAGATTCTCAACTCTTATTTGCGACAAACTGAGAAAAAGTGAAGTCGAGATCTTTCACTAATTAATGTCAAAATGAGAAAGGATAAATTAAGATTGAAATATCCTTTCAATACAAGAAATGGATGAGTAGGTAAGGATGAGATCCAAAGAAAACCTTGAAGCGAATTAATATTGTTATGACACGGATAGAAAATAATGGAGAATTGGATATTTAGGAGCCCTAATTTTTTTAATATTCCTACAATCAGCATTGTTAAAACTTTTATCTATTACTAATAATTATTCCCTTCAAATAAAAAGATCAAAAAACAGTTTACTTACATAAATATTCCTTATCACACATAACCAACAAGTCGTACCACTGGTTACCATTTATCCTTGGTAAATCTAGAGTTCCACCGTAATGTTCCGGCAAACATTCGGGGCTCATGTATTGGTGGAGAGATTTGCGGTCAGTACCGTGGAAGATAATGCGGTTTCTTAGTTTTTCTCTAAGGAAGGGCTTGAAGAGGGCAAAGACGACCTTGAAGATGTACGGTTGGTTGACGATGTGAATGTTTTTGATTCTTAGAGGTACGCTATCCTGTAATAAAAAATGAAAATATATTAAAACTGTTTAAATTATATCACCAAATCCGAATTTTTTGTACATGAGGATTGTAGTAGTCTTATAGCTTTCAAAATCAAATTTTACAGCTAAAATAATGTGCCGTGTTTTACATGCCATGTTTCCTGGTCAAAGAGTCCAATGATGTGAATTGAATTCTTCTAGAGGAATGTTTTCAATGTTTAATTTGATCAATAAGTTCTTGGATCGCCATAATACATAAAAAAATTCCATTTTAAAATCTTGGAGAACGAGAAATTGCGTTATCGGAAATTATGAGAGATCATTAGATAGAGATTTTTACTAGAATGTCAAAGTGTTAACTTGTGGTTAAAACTGAATGGACAATAACTTCAACAACTTCAATTGCTATGCAATAAAATCTGTTTCGAAGGAAATCAATTTAGCATCTTCCAAAATAACATACTTTTCTTTGTTCGAGTCTCATCTTCGATATGGCCTACCTTTGTGGGGTTCTAGTACAGCTGCCCAATTTGATGTTATTTTTAAATTACAAAAAAGAAATAAGATATCTTTTTGGCCTCAGTAGAATAACGCATTGCAAAAGACACTTTAAAAATCACGGGATTTTAACTCTTCCTTCTTTATATATTCTAGAACCTGTTTGCTTAATTCTAAACACCTACATGTTTTTCTAGCAAGAACTAATCATGACTACTCCACTAGAAATTTAATATCTGCTCGGGTCTAAGGGTAATATAATATCTGCTCTATCAGCTAATCAAATAATAACACTCTTTTATATTGTTTTCGCAGATTCATGCGAAAAGCATTCGTAGATTATGAAAAGGCTTTCGACAGCATTAAACACTGGGCGGTTGAAGAAGCTCTGGTCAATAGTAGAATAGATTCAAGATACCGACAATTGATACATGATATTTACCAAAACGCAACTATGACCGTAATTCTGGACGACAAATTAATAACGGATATTAGAAAAGTTAAACGAGAAGTCCGACAAGGCGATATAATTTCACCTAAACTGTTTACCTTCACCCTCGAAGACATAATAAAATCAACAGATTGGGAAAACAGAGGAATATGTATTAACGAAAAATACCTAAATCACCTTAGATATGCGAATGATATACTCCTGATCTCCTCGGAACGACAAGAACTGGAGTTAATGCTGAATGAACTTCATGAAAAATCACTGCAAAAAGGCCTAAAAATTAACTTCAACAAAACAAAAATAATGACAAACACGGAAGACCAAGAGGCAATAAAAATACAAACAGAAAAAATAGAACAGGTAAATGAATATATCTATCTAGGACAATCAATCAGAGCTAACAGAGAAAATCAAACAGCCGAAATATCGAGACGAGTAAGAATGGGATCGGCAGCGTTCGGCAAACTTTCTTACATTCTAAAAAATTAAACAATCCCTCTATACTTACGAAGCAAGGTATATAACTCCTGTATAATTCCGGTGCTCACCTACGGAGCACAGACATGGACATTTACACAGGCCAATTTGGATAGAATAAGGAAGGCACAAAGAGCGATGGAGAGACAAATGTTGGGTATATCACTTAAAGATAGAAAACGTAACCAGTGGATCAGAAGCAGAACAAAGACAGTAGACGCGATAGAACAAGCAGCAAAACTGAAATGGAAATGGGCTGGACACAATGAGCGTCTCCAAGACAGACGATGGAACAATGCCATCGGAAAGTGGCGTCCATACAATGCAAAGAGATCAAGAGGCAGACCACAGATGAGGTGGAAAGATGACATCAGGAAACAAGGAGGTCCCACATGGCAGAGAACAGCTCAAGATAGGGAAAGATGGAGAGAACTGGGGGAGACCTATATCCAACAATGGAAGGATAGAGAATAGGTTTAAAAAAAATATTGTTTTAGGAGAGAATTTAAATAATAAGGGAAGATTAGAAGATACTTTTAGTACTATTGTTTAGAACATCAGTTAAATCAGTCAAAAAACTGTGCGTATAAAGTTAACATTTTGTACTTTTTAACCAGAATAAATACGTACTGATATAAAATATGGTATTTTATTGTACTCAGCATTACAACAAAAAAGAAAAAGACTGATGATATTCCAATAAAATTTCAAATTATTGCAGATAGAGTGTTCAGTCCGACTCTGCTTATATGCAATTGTTGACATTACTACTTTACAAAATTTTATTAAAAAGTAACTGCCGCATTGTTTTGAATATTGTACGAATTTATTAACAAAACAATATGTTGATTTTCAATATGATGCATCAAAATGACGGTGGTTAATTTAATTTTTTTTTTCAATTTTTGATGATTCATTCTTCAAGGTTTAATTGCACAGAACTGATGGTTTGATTGTTTGCACGAAAAATTTATTGCATACCTAAATATGACCGTGGGTTTTTCGTTCATTTGTTGGAAGAAGTAATTCGATTCTTTTACCGCTAAATCCGGTATGTTGTTTTTATTTGGACTATCAAGTAGAACATTATTTCTTCTTAAAAATTCTGGGAAAACATTGAAAATAATGTTAATTATAAGAGCCATGACAAAAATCGAAATTGGGGCCAGCGTGAAATAAAACTTTCGTTAATTGATAGGTTAGTTACTCCCACATAAATCCCTAAATGACCCATGGAAAGGTCACGTGGTCGATAATGGTCGATAAACCCGGTTCATAGAAAGATATGCAGGGACTGCTTTGCATCTGTTTTCTCTGTCTATTTGTATTATAAGTATATGTTTAAAACAAACTTAAACTAACCTTACTTGTACACAATTTTTTGCCTTTGTTAACACTTTGACACCTGTGGACAACGATCTATGATAGATTATATTATAACCAACAGATCTGGAACGGAACAGATCTGGAAAGAGTAACAAGAAAAACGTACCTTGGAAGTAATCTTGATGAAACTTGGGACCACTCACTAGAGATAAGAATACGCCTGGAAAAGGCACGTACAATGTTTTACAAAATGCAAAAAGTTCTATGCAACCGCCAGCTGGGCATCTCATTGAGAACTAGAATACTTAAGTGCTATGTTTTCTCCACCTTGCTCTATGGTGTTGAAGCCTGGACAATGACAGAAGCAACACAAAAAAGAATCCAAGCATTCGAACTCTGGTGTTACTGTAAAATGCTCAGAATATCCTAGAAAGAGCCATACGACAAATGCGGAAGTCTTGCGGAGGATGAATAAGGAAAGAGAGCTTATGCTTATAATAAAAGAACGGAAAACACAATGTTTTGGTCACATCATAAGAAATCAAAAGTATGAACTGCTCCAACTTATAATCGAAGGCAAAGTCAATAGCAAAAGAGGACCAGGAAGAAGACGCAACTCTTCGCTTAAAAACCTACGGCAATGGACGAACATGACCTCCATAGAACTATTCAGGGCTGCTACAAATAAGATTAAATGGGCAAATGTAATGGCCAACGTCCTTAAGGATAAGGCACCGTAAGAAGAAGATAACCAACAGATATATACATCATCAAAAATAATCGAAGTAAGATGACTCAACTTAATAGATGTAGGTAGCGACTATAGCCTAGTATTATGTAAAATAAGAATAATCCTGAAATACTTCCCACTCGAGGAATCGACGGAATACTTATACAGGAAAAGAATATCAAAGACGATCGCTGGAAATGAAATATTAGAAAACGATAACATCAAGGAAAGCTGGGAAAAACTCAAAAAAAAAAAATTAAGGCAGCAACAGAATCACTGGGAGAGGAAAGTAATTAACACTAACATATAAAAAAAGAAACCACCATGGTATAGAGAGGAAGTGAAGACAAAATGTGAAGAAAAGAAGAAAGCCTTTTTACAATACAGTACACAACAAACACAACAGGCAAACAACCACTATAAACGAATCAGAACTGCAATACGTTAAATAGTTCTTCTTCTGTTAAATATATTTTACGTTTTTTTGGTTTTGATGGACCTGCCACATCATTATCCATATTTAGTTAAAAAAAAAGAAAATCTTAAAACGGCTAATAGTTTTAGGTAAGTTATGTTCTAAACAACACGCTCACAGATTCACAAACACGTGCCTATAATGCTGTTAAAATACTAACGTGTTTATTTTGAACGAGATTATATGTCACCAGCAAGTCATGCGCATCTGACAAAGGAACGATGCGGCTTACATGAGAGCCATGCGCAGTCAAAGTTTTAAATGACAAATTAAAAGAAAATAAAGCAATTAAAACACGTTTAAACCTTTTTATTTACTGTTGTAACATCCGCATTTTGCTCTCTATGCTCATATATTTGTTCATCCACATGATATCCTTCAAGTATTCCGATATTCTGGCTGCCTTGTGGACTTTTTTTTTTAATTCCTCTGACATATCTACCATACGCTACATATATTCCAGGTAGTTGAAATTCATGACTTGTTCTATTATATGTGTTCGTTAATAATTAGTTTACATCTGATGGGACCATGGACGTATAAACATAGATAGACACAGCAATAAGATACCTTTAACACACAATGTTTTGAAGCTTCGATAGAATGTGATGCTTCCGCAATGAGCATAAGCGTGCTTGAATTATTACTCGCGGGTAATTATTCAGATTTTAAAAATTGGAAGTAGTAATAATGTATAAAAACACGTTCAAAGAATTTTAAAAAACGAGAGTTTAACTATTAACAAATCACGTCTTTATAGAAAAATTAAAATACAATTTTATTTGCTTTAAAATTAATACAATAAAATATAGTTGAATTCAAGTTAATTTTTAATAGGTATCAAAGTAATGCTACAATAAAAAATCTTTGTTTTCTCCTAAATTTGCTACCAAAATAGTTCGATCGTCAATATTATTTGGAAACCTACATAGAAAAATAAATGAGTTTTATTCATTTCACTAATTTATTTGCATCCATGAGAAATATTAAATTAAAAAGGTACTAAATAGATCTTTTTTTAATCAGATGATGTCTACTTACAATTTAAAAATGTC